ATAAGTCGGTCATTTTAACCCAACTTAAGTGATGAAAGATTTAAGGAAAAGCAACACTCTAAATTTATCGTTTTAACCTGACTTTAAATGGAAGATCCAAATAACATAGTTATAATATAAATTAATTGTTTTAGTCTGAATAAAGTAATATGCAAATTAGTCATATATATGAAAATGATAAGCAACGACCCACTAGTTAAATGTAAACAACCCACCAATTCAACATTAAAGAAAAAAAAATAATCCATCAATCGAGACATAAATTGTTTGTCTTAAAAATTGTACAAAAACTTTCCAAAGTTACATAGTAATCCGACATCCTGACCCTTCAATTAATTGTGACTAGTTCTTCAAAGTCTCTCATGGTCTCAACAACCTAATCAAAAGTGTCAACAACCTTGTTGGCATCATTAACCCAATTGTCTTCACAACATCCTTAGCCAACAATGTTTCTAATATCCTCAACGACATTAGAAGATGTAGAAACTTAGTTCGACTTGGAAGAATTAGGATGCAAAAGTTGCCTAGTTGACTTAGGTATTCTTTTGACTTCAAAGCCAACAATTTCTTCATTTTTTTTTATCTCCCTCCTATTTCCCTTTTCCTCCTCCAAATCAGGCTCTAAGGGCTTGTAGAGTTTTGTTTTTTAAGTTATAAGAATGTCATACTTCATTTATGACTTGACTAAAGGGGTTGGTTCCCTTGGTGTGCTAAATCATGTGAGGGCTTAAGTAATTAAGTAGGTTAACAACATTATGAAAGGATTGATGTATTTGTGTACCCATTTGTTATTCAAGTTCAGCATAGGCAAAGTAAGATTGGTCACTCTCAAAGACTAGTTTATCTTGTTCTTGCTCTAAGAGGCTTACCCAAGCGATTTCGACTAGTACTTCATTATTCTGATCAACCACCTTACAATATATAAGTGGCTTTCAAGGCAACAAGCACTTCATCCAACTTGAGCTTTTAACTTCACTCTTTGTTGAACTCCTATTTAAGCATTTTCAAATGGCCATGACAAGGCACCCCAACCTCCCAAGGCATTAGTTAACTTCATCTAAAACTGAAGGGCTAATAATTAATCATCCAAAAAGCGAACTTGGGAAACAAAAGTCATTAAGGATTCCTGAGATATTTTTGAGATCAAAGGTCATTCTTGGTTATCATCCCCTTTTAATATGAAGTGCCAAGCTGGAAAAATCGATGGTTAGTGGCTAAGGGAAACTGGTTGAAACATTCAAGGAGGCAAAAAGAATGAATTCAACAGGTGTCATTTTTTGCTTCTTAGGAGGAGGAGATGGGGCATGACAAACAATGACGTCTTCATAAACAAAGTGACTATGTGGATGGTTAAGTGGTGGCAACACTATAGTTTTGGGAGTGTAAACAGACCAACCAAATTTCCTTATTTTGATGTGCAGTCCTACAAGCTTAGCTTCCCACACGCTTAAGTTGATTTTCAATACAAATAATTTTAAATACAAAACTACATCATTACCAAGCATATATTACAACTTTTTGGTGGCTATGGGTCACCTATGTCACCTGGTGGGAAGGCTCGAGCAGACATCAAAGATGATAATGAATCATCCAAAAATGTTACAAGATGACCCCTCTAAAAGTAACAAGTTAGCACAAAGTTTTACGTTTCACATTGACTTGGGGATTATTGTTATGGATGACCATTTTAGAAGTGATTTGTGTGTGAATTTATGTGATGTATGTTTAAATATTGTCTAACCTTTCATCTTATACTAAAGCATATTATGAGATATATTCTCATTCTCTGTATTGTTTTTATTTTTTGTTTTATTTGGGTTGATTGTCAATTATAAGTAATATTCAAATAAATGATGAGAATTACGTGGGAAATGAAACTTAGGTTTCTAGTTCACAACTTTGGATTACGTTTTGATAGTGCAATATTTGGGACAATTGAGAGAATTATATTTAATTTTAGTTTATTTTTCCTTTTTGTTATTTTTCATAGAACTTAATTCTATTATTATAAACTTTTGTAAAGGAATTTTGGAATATCTATTTTATTCCATTAGAGTTCTTTTATAACTTAAGTTTTATTTGAGAAAAGTTTTGAAGGTAAAGAGTCTCACAAGTGAAGCACTTAAAATGCTAAAAAGATAGTAAAAAAATCATTTATTAACCCTTTATAAATAATACTATTGTGCTTAGCTAGATCTAGTGATGTGTGTAACACTTTTCTACACCAAAAATGATAAAATAAATAAAATTAATTCTGAAGATAATATAAAAAATAATAATAACACTTTCCTCATCAAAAATTAGTAAAACAGTTGACAAAATTTTATCCACACCACTTTATTAGATGAAGAAAAACATAAAATATTATTTGAATCAAAATAAGACACAACGTTCTAAGTAATAATATTCTGAAAATAAAATATAATTAAAGAGAAAGTCAACAATTCAACAACTACTAAAATTAAAACTATACCTCAATGTCATACTATTAGAGTATAATCTTTCTTTATGTTTTTCCCTCATTAAACATATTTTTATGTACCTATTTTAATCTTGAAAATGGCATTTAGCCTAAACAAAAACATACAAAACAAGGAGTTAGAATACTTCTCATCCATAAAAACATATACAAATACAACACATATAGGTAGACACACATATATAATATCAATTACATCTCACATACCATAGTTAATCTCATATATAATAGTAATGTTAAGTTAAAAGACGGTCTTGGATCACTCAAGTTTTTAAGTTTTAATGATAATAAACAACATATTTTTCTAATTACAAATCAGACAAAGCAACATTAGACAAACGATATGTCATCAAGTGAAATATGTAACAACCCAATTTTCATAGAATGTACACGAGGGCCCAAAAGCCCAATGAGGGTAATTTAGTAATTCACTGGGGTGTTTTAGTAGCCCAGAACGGGCCGTTCCAAAATTAGAACGGGTCGTTCCAAGTTACTAAAATGAAGGTAATTTAGTAGCTCGGAACGGGACGTTCCGGAATTGGAACGGGCTTCCAAACCATTGAAATTGCCTATGATTCCTAATTTAGAATGGGTCGTTCCAGAGTTGAGAACGGGCCGTTCTAGAGGTGAGAACGGGCCGTTCTAGAGGTGAGAACGGGCCGTTCCAAAATATGGCTGTTGTGAGTATTAAATGCACCCTAGAACGGGCCGTTCCGGACCCTTAAATCATGGGTAAAAGTCACATCCAGAACGGCCCGTTCTGGGGTGCATTTAATACTCACAACGGTCATATTTTGGAACGGCCCGTTCTCACCTCTGGAACGGCCTGTTCTCAACTCTGGAACGGCCCGTTCTAAATTAAGAATCATAGGCAATTTCAATGGTTTGGAACGGCCCGTTCCGAGCCACTAAATCACCTTCATTTTAGTAACTTGGAACGGCCCGTTCCAATTTTGGAACGGCCCGTTCTAGGCTACTAAAACACCCCTGTGAATTACTAAATTACCTTCATTGGGCTTTTGGGCCCTCGTACATTCTATGAAAATTTGGCTGTTACAAAATATACAATCTAACTTCATAAGATATTAAATGTATACCATTTATAATGACTAATGACTACTTGATGCATATCTAATTGATTCCTCAACAAATCTAATTAAGAAATCTTGTTGGAATTCATAAATTTGTTAAAGTGAATGAAATCATGCTTTACACAAGAAATAAGGACAAACAAATCCTTGAAATCATAGAAAAAGTTAGCAAAAGTCGATGTAGACCTGCTCCTTGTTGACACACGCCACAGATAGTCCATTTGGTATCCTAAAATTGATAAGTAGCTTCTTTTATTAGATAAGAAGTGACAATTTAGTGAAACACATTTTTTGCAAGTATTTAATACATCAACGAACTCTTTTCACCTCAAGAAACATGTAACGAAGTAAAACGAAGCAAGTTTGTGAGGAATCCTCAAGATTTTGTAACAGTCATCTTCATTCAAACTACTATATAAAAAGTTTCACGATCAGAATTCTTATTATTTTAAAAGTATAGGAGGTTATATGTGAGAATTCTTGAATTTCAAAAAAAATTAAACCCAATGGGTTAATACATTTATTACTTTTATGAAAATTCATTTAATTTTAATATACAAACTTTGTCATATTAAAAAAAAGTCATTAACAAAAGTATCGAAATTGAGGCAAATTTAAAGCAATTTTGTGCATGTATCTTAAATGTAGCGTTGACATTAGAGGACTAGCTGTCAAATTTACGTTATAAACTGCTAGTGGATTTGCCAGTGACAACGATACCAACTTCCAATCATTTTAATCACATAGACACTACTTTTATTAATTTTTAAGGCTCATAATATATAAAAAAAAAAAAAAAAGATTACTTAAAGATTAATGATAGATATTTTACCATAAAAAAGATTAGTCACTAAAACTAACATTGATTTTTTTTAAACAAAAACCAACATTGTTAAATTTTGTTACTAACTAATTTGTGAATTTTTAAGTAGTGATGAGAAATTTTCCAAGGCTATTTTTTTCCTTGATTAGCTAAAGCATATGTTTTGTTCGGAAAGTTTAGTTTTAGTTGACATATATGGAGTGAATCACTTTACTTAAAATGTTTAAGTTTAACAAATTAATCATTTATCAACAATCTATTCACTACCTTGCTAAACCTTGTGAGATAAGATTTCTTGACTTTCAAAAAAAGCAAACGAAACCACCCTTAAGTTAAATATTTTTTTTTTATCAATATTCGTTTAAATTTAATATTCTTTTATCAAAATTCATTAAATTTTTATTTTTTTATTTAAAATTCATTTAATTTTAATGCATAAACTTTGTCAATTTTACGTTATAAAATTATTAGTCAACCTGTCACCGACAATGATACCAACTTCTAAAAATTTTAATCACATAAATATAACTTTTGTGAATCTCAAGACTATTTAAGTTACCAGTTGAATGTGGTAAAGTTCTTATATTTTGAGTCTTTAAAGATTTGTGAATCTTGAGAAATTCTGGACTTTCAAAACATTTTTTCTTCTTATCTTCTTTCATAAGTGACTAAATTTCTCACCTTACCTTGGTTTTGTAACTTGAAACTTTTTAGTGGTTAGTTGTTTATGACATACTGATTATGCTTTTGTGTTCATCTTTTTACCCAGGTAGAGGTTGATATATTGTTTGACTATATGGGTATGTGTCTTCGACTTTTTTTTTTTTTTTTTTAATTTTTCAATAGATTCTTTTCGAATGAATATCATATATATATATATAGTTTCTGGTTGCTCAATTTATTTTATTATCATTTGCCATAAGTCCTAAACCCTAAATTTTATGCGTCTTTGACTTTATTTGGGAAAATTTTCAATAGATTCCTTTTGAATGAATACTATACATATAGTTTCTGATTGCTCAATTTATTTTATTACCATTAGCCATAGTCATTCTTTTAACCTTCCTTATAAAGTTTCTATTTTGTTCCTTTTTCTTCACATTTTTGCCTCTATACATGATTTGCATGTTGATTTGACTTGTGTGTAACATTTTGGTTACCTCTAAACACCATTCCCCTCATAAAATAAACATATTAAACATATTTGTGTAAATATCATATTTTAAAAAAAAATTGAAATAATCGATTGAATTAGTTTGATAGGGAATCGATTCAATGATCGGTTTGCTAACTCAAAATAATCAGTGTACTTCAAGATTGGTTTGAATCGGTCTAATCGATCTGATCCAAAACTAAATAAAATCGGTTTGAATTGATACTAATTGTTTTTTTTTTCAAATTTCAAATTTTATTTAAATTATTTTTAATGATAAATAAAAATACATGTTTATTAAGGATTATAAATTTGAATAAATTATTTTTAATGATTTTCTTATAAATATATATATATATATATATATATTAGATATTTATATTAATTTACAATTTTTTACATCCTGAGGTTTTTTAATTTTATATTATATTAATTAGACATTATTTTACTTTGGTTGTAAATTTATTATTATTGTTAATGATCTGTTGTTATATTTTATTGAAATTTAAACATATGTATTTTATTTAAATTTTTACAAATACTTTGAATGTTAAGAATTTATAATAAAAAAATATTTTATTTTAATTTTTAGTGTAATCAATTAACAATATCATATTTATTTAATATTATATTATTTATTATTTAATTATCATTTTTATTTTATTAATATCGGTTGAATCATAATTTTTAACTATGATCGAATTATTCAACCTTTAACTAATAGATTGACCAAGTCGATCGATGATTATGTTTGGTTGACTTCTATCTATCTCCTTTCAAGAATTTTCCTCGTGATCTAACATAGATTAACATTAATTGACCATTCAAACCTTCACCTCCCCCAATTCTTATGTCTTTTCTTATGTATACTTTATGACTATTTAATTGACATGTTACCATTATCATTTTATAGATTTCTCACAATATAGTCTTGCTTCTCAAATGCATGCATGCATGTCTTGATACATATAGGGTCTAGAAAAAAACGAATAACATTTGAAGATGAAACAGAACGAACAGGAAGAAGAAGGAGTAGCAGGATTGTTGCTTTGGAAGAGAAGAAGAAGCAGGAAAGAGAGAGAAAGCTTGCACAAGCATTGGAAAATGACGTCAGAAACAATGGAAAACACAAGGCAACAATGGAGCTACGTGATGATGACATGAGTGATTCTAATAACAATGACGATGAGGAGGGGCCAACCAAGAAGAGACACAAAAGCAAAGAACTAAATCAATTGATCTCTTCAATTAAGGTGTGTCTCCATAATTTTTATTTTGAATGTCTTAATTAAACAGAGTATAAATTTTATAAATGTCACTTCTTGAATGCAAATGCATCTTCTTTACTTTTGCTGATTCTATATAGCACTTATTATTTGTGAACACTTCACAATATGAATCAATAGCTGGAAACAATATTGTGAGTTGTGGTATAAAGGTTACTAGTGTCAAAAATTCAGTTGCATGAATGGTACTGATACAACCACATGCTATGTATTTCCATTGTTTATTCACTTTTTTCTGCCACTTCTAAGTCAATACAGGCATTAGAAAGACAATTTCAGAATGCAAATACTTCTGGAACAAATGGTATGCTTATAACTATCTTAAGCAGTTACACCTTGACCATCACATGTAATTTTCCGTTAGTATAGTGTGATATAAAAACAATTGTTGTACTTTTCACTTGCAGTCTCATCTCTGAATGGTATGCCCCTAAAGCAGATCCTTGAAATGATCATTGATTTTTTACAAAGGTAAAAAACATATTCGGTTATGATTATTTTTAAATGCCTATAAATGGATGAAATAAAAACTGTTACATTACAAAGATTTCACTGGAATATATCCATATATAAATAAATACAAAATCGTTTAAATGTGTGCAGGAAAGACCTGCATGAGCTATTTGCCAAGCCAGTAAATCAAAAGGTGGTTAGTTGTTTACCTTTAATTTGAACATTTAATTAATTACTTCTAGTCCATTTGATCATTGAATTTTGTTAGTTATGTTGAATACTTACCCTGAATTAAATTAAAGGTGGAGCATCATAATGAAATTGTGCAGCAGACAATGGATTTCGGTACCATGAGGGCCAAACTTCACGAGGGCATGTACACAGATCTTGAACAGTTCAAGGTTTGAAAATCATCATACTTTATTTTGGTTTTGTTACACTTTCCCTCAATGCGAAATTGATGTTTGCTTCTATTTCAATGATGGACAGCGTGATGTCTTTCTTATATGCTCCAATGCAATGAATGCTAATCCAGAAAACTCAAAATATCATCAAGTGGTATGACCATGTAAAATAGAAAGCATTAAGCTATTCACGCTTGTTTACTGTAAAATCTTGAATAAGTTTTCTTTAACATAATTTGTTTCAGGCTGAAGATATAAGTAAGTATGCTAAGTGGATTTTTGAGGCTCTAAGTGCTGACCCCGAACATTTTGAATTGGAATTTTCCCTCAACAAGAAACGCTCTGGTAGAAAGCCACAAAGTGGGCAAAGGAGAACCTCACAGAAGGTTTCTTCTAAACCTGCTGGTATGGAATAATTAGTAAATCAAAACAATTTTAACTTTTAATTTATTCTCTCTTTTCTTTATTTTTTGTTTGAATGAGTGATCTAACTGTATTTTCCTTTTAATGTAGGGAGAAACAAGTCTAGTTCTGTTACAGTTCCTGAAACAGAAAAGAGGGACACGTATTGCCCTCCAAGTAAGCCACTGGTTTCAGAAGTAAGTTCTGTTTTCCTCCCAAACAATTATATAAGGTGGTGATCTATAAACACCATAAAAGTTGATAATAAATGAATATTTGTTTGGAAGAGTGTTATGCACACATCGAACAAGGACAAAGTAGTACATCATGTGAGGTCACATTTGTACATACAACTTCCTAACTAGTAGATCTTACACTCTGTAAATAAGATTTATTTTGGTGTTGGCAACAAATTTGAAAAAGAAACATGATAATCCATTCTTAACTCCTTATACTGCATCCACATAACTTTTCAACTAATACTACTTCCATATAGCTGTTTATTTCAATTCTTCGTCAGATACCAAGAACTTCAATTTCAGATTGTATGATATAAAAACTATGGCAATTGATAATGTTTGATGCTATTGCAGTTGAAGAAAAATGCAACTACGTACAAAGAAAGTCCATTGCGAATTGTGGAAGATACGGGACCGACTGCTGAAAATATTGCAGCCAAACAAATAGAAGAATATCAGAGACAGATTGAGCTCCTTAAAAATGATACTCTCAATGCTCAGACACTTGCTCTTTCCCCTTGCAAAATCTTTTTGGATTTATGCTGTTAGTCATGCTGTTTTTCTCATCAATAGACAACCGTCTTCATTCCTAGAAAATAAAATTCCCTATGAGATTATATATAATGTATTACCTGATCTTGCTAGAATTAAGGTTTTTGGTTGTCTTGCAAATGCTACCACTCTTCATCACAATAGAAAGAAGTTTGATCCAAGGGGAAGAAGATGTGTTTTTCTAGGGTTTAAGCCTCAGGTTAAAGGATCTATTCTTTATGATTTGAACAGCAAAGAAACCTTTTTAAGTAGACATGTTGAGTACTTTGAGCACATTTTTCCCTTCCTTCCCATGTCACCTTTAGACCTTACATAGACCATGCCTTTCCCTTCCCTTCCTCAGTAGGCCACTCGCTATTCCTGGTTCTGCAGCTCAGGAAAACAGAATATTCAACACAACTAATGTTGGCAGTGTTAACATCAGGGATGGTCCTTATCAGGGAAACAAGACCCGCACAAATAATAGCTGGAATGCTTCTTTTTTGAGCAACTTTTTTAACAATGACAAAGGCGGAAGTTCTAGTGGAATTGAGAGCTCTAATGCAAGAGGAACCATGAACTTTTTGGGTCTCTCAAAGGACAAAATGGCTTCCCCACTTGAGAATGTGTCTTCTCTTCTTGCACCTGTTCATGAACATGCTCACCAACTACAGTTAGGAGTTGATAAAACCAGCAATACAAGACTGTGGAATACCTCTGCCGGTGCACCAAACATGTTAGGCATTGGAAGCTCCAGCAATGCATTTGCCAGTATTTACCCAACAAGCGTGATCTCAGGGCCTCATCCTCAGCCATTTAATTCCATATTCTCAAACAATGGAAATAGGCCTTCAGGGTTATCTCAATCAAGGCCAGAAAACTTCAAGTCTTTCATGCCAAGCAATAACCTTGCAGAGTCTATGGTGCATCAGCCACGGCCAACAGATTTTATTAATCTCTCAGATTTGACTCTTGCGCCTCAATCAAGGGCAGAAAACCTCATGTCCTACATGCCAAGAAATAACCTCACACAGTCTCTGCCAAGGCCAGGAGGTATTATTAACCTCTCAGGTATGTCTGTGTCTCGGCCAAGGCCAAAAGAATCAATGGATAACGTGAGTCACATGACTAATTACCTTAGAGAACAGTCTCTCATGTATCATCAGCATCAGCATCAGCATCAGCATCAGCGTCAGCATCAGCATCAGCATCAGCCAAGGCCAGAAGACCCAAATGATGAAGTGGGTAATTACCTTAGAGAAATGACTCGTATGTATAATTTGTATCACCCTGAGACATGGCCAGCAGAGTCTATGTCTAGCCTGAATCCCTTAAGGCACTCTCTTTTGTCTCAACCAAAGCAGGAAGAGTCAGTTCCAAGTAAGAACCTCCCAGGGTCAAGTGTTTTGCCTTCACTAGCTGCACACTTTTCTAATGAGTCAGATACTTCACCAGACTTCAAAAACAGCACTTGCCTGATGCAGACAAGTCAAGAACTCATGCACCAACAAGCTGCACTAAACACTCCCCCAGCAACTCATGGTTTTCCTGACATGAAAATGTAGGTATTTAGTCAACTGAACTCTCATGGAACTGTAAATTACTATTGAGGAGGAGGTGCTCTTATAGTTTAGCCAGAAGCAACTCCTACATAGCTTCTTTGAGATAGTGGCGCAGAGTACATAACATTGGTTTGGTATAGTATGCCATACTAAAATCCTTATGACTAACTTAGATTATATTTTATTTACATTTCAAAATCATACTTCATGAATTTACAAACCTCTTCAGCTCATAAGGATTTTAGTCTGCTATACTTTAACAGACCAACATTATAGTTGTAGGTCTTCATTTTGGACATGGCCATATCAAAATTGATTTTGAAAACTTTTAAACAAACGCCTTTTCTGCAGTAGCGGAGATTCCTAAGCTATCCAAAGAATTATTTTATTGAATGAGTTCAATTTAACTATAAAACTTACCCTTTTATTTCATGCATGTCACAATCACATATTGAATGAGATTCAAAAGCTAACCAACTTTAATAAATACCATCCTGTTTCTCTGCACGATTTAAGCTCCCATAATGTGACATGTCATAGATGAATAATCTCCTAGAAAAATGTTATTTATTATTATTTTCTAAATTTGTAGTAATTTTTATTTATTTATTTATTTTCTTATATTTATATTTTAGGAAGCAAAGGGAAGACTAAAGGGTATTTGGACCTCAATCTGTAGCAGAAGTACCTTTTCATGAATAAAAAGGAAGAAAAAGAAGATCCGGAAATCACTTTCTATTCTACATTCTCTCTCAATGAGCTCTACAAGTACAAGAAAGATGATTAGGGTTGAAGCTCACGCCTTCAAGTCCATGGATTCTATCTTTCTTCCTTTATATGTTTTTGTTGATTTTAGTTTTTCTGTGCCTGGTTAAACCCACTTTTGTTGGGGTAAGGAATATTTCTATGCAACCCATGAATATTTTATTTGGGATTTTTAATAAAACTTTGTTTTTCCTATCTTTATGTTCGTATTATCTTTCCTTATTGGTTCTAGTGACTTGATTATTCTTAGGAAGATTTTTTTATTATCTATTTAGTGAATGAGAATTTGCTCTATAAATGTTCTCTAAGATACAAACCTCACTTTTTCATTTGGAAGAGCTCAGAATAAAAACCCTTTGCATATTGAAAGAGAATGGTGAGTCTACTATTACAATACTAGCTGATAACAATTTATATGAGTAATGGTTGGGAAGAGTGTTTCTACACCTTGGATATGTAATAAGTAGTAAGTACACCATATGGGGTCTCATTTGCATATAAAGCATCATAACCAGTAGATCTTTCTCTTTTTGATTTAAAAGTAGTGGATCTTATACTCTACATAAAATTTCATTTGATGATGGATACAAATTTGAATGAGGAACGTGATAATCCATTCTCAATTCCTTATGCAACATCCACATAACTTGTAACAAGTCCCACATTAGGGAGGTCTCCTTACCAAGGAGACCTTATAAGGCGGGAGGTTCTCCAATCTCTTGGGCCGGCTTTTGAGGGATGGTTCCCCTCCTTAGTCTTATGCTCGTTACAATGGTGCTTTCATTGAGAGCCAGCCAAATCGAGAAGGACTACCCACGGAGGGTTCTGACCATCGGAGGGTTTTGACCGGCAAAATTCCGAGTGAAATGTCGGTGAGTGAAGTACCGTGAAGTGCCGGCTTTTGAGGGATGGTTCCCCTCCTTAGTCTTTATGCTCGTTACGATGGTGCTTTCATTGAGAGCCAGCCAAATCGAGAAGGGCTACCCACGGAGAGTTCTGACCATCGGAGGGTTCTAACCGGCAAAAGGCCGAGTGAAGTGCCGGTGAATGAAGTACCGTGGAGTGCAGCCATCGAGGACGCTGGCTTTCGAAGGGGGTGGTAATGTAACAAGTCCCACATCGGGGAGGTCTCCTTACCAAGGAGACCTTATAAGGCGGGAGGTTCTCCAACTTCTTGGACCGGTTTTTGAGGGATGGTTCCCCTCCTTAGCCTTATGCTTGTTACATAACTCCTCAATTCCTTATACAATTAGGACTTCGCAACTGCAGTGCCATGTTTTATGATCCAATCACCTCGAGTGTGTTGGTGTTTGAATTCGTGATTTCCACGTGATCTCTAACTTCTTGGACCGGTTTTTGAGGGATGGTTCCCCTCCTTAGCCTTATGCTTGTTACATAACTCCTCAATTCCTTATACAATTAGGACTTCGCAACTGCAGTGCCATGTTTTATGATCCAATCACCTCGAGTGTGTTGGTGTTTGAATTCGTGATTTCCACGTGATGCATGGGGATCCCAACAAGAAATAAATTAAAAGTGAAATGAAATTGCGACAACAAAAACTTTCGTGGTTATCTCTCATACCACAGCCATGTTTTATGATCCAATCACCTCGAGTGTGTTGGTGTTTGAATTCGTGATTTCCACATGATCTCCAACTTCTTGGACCGGTTTTTGAGAGATGGTTCCCCTCCTTAGCTTTATGCTTGTTACATAACTCCTCAATTCCTTATACAATTAGGACTTCGCAACTGCAGTGCCATGTTTTATGATCCAATCACCTCGAGTGTGTTGGTGTTTGAATTCGTGATTTCCACGTGATGCATGGGGATCCCAACAAGAAATAAATTAAAAGTGAAATGAAATTGCGACAACAAAAACTTTCGTGGTTATCTCTCATACCACAGCCAAGGTTAGAAAACTTCATGTCCTGCATGCGGACCAATAAATACCCTTAAGAGTTATCTCTCGTACTGTTGAGTGTCTTTTTTTGTATGTTTTGCACTCAACTCTTGGAAATCTTTTTTTATAATTGTAGATATTTATATGATATTTCACCCCTTTTATTTATAGAATTAAGTCATACTGTAAGAGTAGAGGAGTAGTAGTAATCTTAAGGAATTGTCTCATTTTTGCAGGATTTTTTTGGCTAGGCAGAGATCCACAGCCATAGCTGTGGAAGTCTGGGAAGGATATAGAGGTCCAGAGACTTGCAGCTATAGCTATGGTTCTGCAGCTATAGCTGTGGAAATCTGGAATGCTCATTTTTGGTTCCAGAGACTTGAAGCTACAGCTGCAGGATCCAAGGCTTGAGCGTTGAGGCTTGGGAAATCAAGGGAAGCCACAGAGACTCACAGCCATAGCTGTGGTTTCACAGCTACAGCTTAGGAAGTTGCTTAATCATGAAGGAGTCTCCACAGCCATGGCTGCAGAGCTACAGCTGCAGCGCCAGAAGTTACTTCACCTTGAAGGATTCTCCACAGCCATAGTTGTGGTTCTACAGCTGCAGCGGTGGAGTTAAAAATTTCACTTTTTGCCCAGTTTTAGAGCTGATATAAAAGGGAAAAAGGAGGAGAACTGGGGACATTGTACAGAGCACGAATTTAAGAGAGAAAAACAGGGGAAAAGGGCGGAGAAGGAAGAACGAAGGAAGAACAGAGATTTGGAAGCTGGATCCTTTGGGAACGAAGATCAACTCCATTTCTTCATCCTTTGCTTTGTAATTTCTTCTTTTCACTCTTTGATTCTGTAATGGCCATGGGTGGCTAAACTTCTTAAGGATTGGTTAGATGTAACTACTAACTCCTCTTCTTCTTAAATATATGCATTTTGATCTCATTATTTGTGTATTGATTCTTCGCTTAACGCTTATATCGGCTTGATCAACCGTTGTATGAATTTTGGCTTTTGAATCCAGTTGGAAAACGCTTTCGAAAACCCGAACTGAATCTTGCACCTAATCACTTCTTGTTCTAGGAATAGACTTGATTTGGTTAGTCACATTGTTCAAGTTATTGTTCTTAATGCGAAGTGTTAGACTCAAAACATTGAGGAATCATGTTTTGAGCTTAATGACTTTAGGATTCAACCTTGAGGAATCTTGTTGGATTGTTTAATGAACATATAAATAATGAAATTAGAATTGCATTTATTTTAAGAAGATCTATGAGTTAGCAAGTGCTCTGAGCCAATCCTTGTTTCCAAATCATTGTCTTTACTACATTTACTTTATTGTGTTGTTTGAATCTATTTCCATTCAATTGCGATTTTAAAATCATTCTCTTTTAAATCATTAGAGCGAGAATTATTAAACACGCAAATCCCTGAGGACGATCTTTAAATACTACTTCGAAACTTGGTTCACTTGCCAAGTGGTAGGTTTGTGAAAAATCTTCATCACGTACATGAATCATGGCCACATTGGATTCACCACTCATGGATCCAAATAACCATGACTAATATTACAAGGCATATATAACTTGAGCACATATACAATAGGAATTTTTTTCTCAACATGATTCAATGCTAAAAGTTAGACTCTTATTCACTATTTGATTAAGAAATAAAAATCGTTTTCACTTGTTTTTGTTTATATAAGTTGGTGCTACTGTGATGGAAGTTGAAGAAGGGATGTTAAGGATAATAAAGTTAGTTAGATTAAAACTAATTCTGTTATGATAAAATCATTTGTTTAGCTATGATTAGTTATCTTAGCTGTCATTGTTTATGATAAGATTATTATGTTACGTGTAGCTTATATAAGGTCTTTAAATCATTCTCTGTAATTCATGTTGATGATAATAATTCAATATATCTTTCAGCATTTATTTCATTCCTTTGTTTATCTTTACATGGTATCACGAGCACAGTGAGATCCATCAAACATGTCTTCCGCTACACAAAAATCGTTCAACCTGCAAACTTTCCATACTCCAATTGCAATCAAATTAGACGATGAAAATTTTTTGTTATGGCAGCAACAAATTCTTGCCAGTATTCGTGGAATGAAGCTTCAGAAATTCATCACTAGTAGTGATGTTCCAGCAAAATTCGCGAAAAAAGAGGATGCAGCAAGCAACAACCTAAGTCAAGATTTCGAGCATCATGAGCAGCAAGATCAACTATTGACGGCATGGCTTCTGGCTTCAATGTCCACCCCAATCTTGACAAAGATGGTTGGGTTGGAAACATCTTTTCAAATCTGGAAGCATTTAGAGGTTTACTATGCGTCTCATACACGAGCCACGATCAAGAAATTGAAGCTTCAGTTACGCACAATTAAGAATGATTACCTATTAGAAATCAAGAAAATTATTGATTCACTCGCTGCCATAGGAGTCAAAATTTCAGAAGAAGATCACATAGATGTGATTTTTGATGGTTTGCCTGAAGATTTCGATAGTTTTGTGACCTCCATAACATCTCGAATTGATCCATACACAGTAGATGAGATCGAGGCTCTGCTGACGCCACCTCCACGCCCGCTTAGAGCATAAGAAGCGTCATTCTAAAAAAGGGTCAATACTTCGAGACCGAGCAGATGTTCCGCGAAGCAGGCGAATCCTGGCCCGTTATCATCCCCAACCAAGAGCTTTGGAGGCAGGTTCAATCAAAGAGGTGGACAACGAAACGGTCGTGGTAG